GGCAGCTACTAAAACTCGGCTCGGCTCGGCTCGGCCGGTGCGTTTTGCGCCCCAGTGAGGCGTCTGGCATCTCTCCCAACACTATTTCGTATCGCCAGAAGGAAAATCCACTTGGCAACGTGCCAGAGGAATGGGGCAACGTTGCCCGTGCAAGAAATGGAGGATGATGGCGTGCCGGTGGCTTGATGCGCAGTGTGCGTGCTTATAATGTGCTGGTGGCTTCGTGCGCAGTGTGCGTGCTGTTCATGCAAGAAACGGGCGCCGTATGCAAGAAAGGAGGTTTTGCAGACTTCCCCGGTGATTTTGTCGCCATCTCCCCATCATCATTCCCCTTCCCAAACATCATATTTTCTCACTCCAACCCAACGCTCTTCCTCATCACCTAATCTCACCTAAACATCATCATCATCATCATCAATCATCAATCATCAATCATCATCATCATCATCATCATCATCATCATCATCATCGTCATCATCATCATCATCGTCAATCATCATCATCATCATCATCATCAATCATCATCATAATCATCATCATCATAATCATCATCATAATCATAATCATCATAATCATAATCATCATCATAATCATAATCATCATAATCATAATCATCATAATCATAATTATCATAATCATAATCATCATAATCATCATAATCATAATCACAATCATAATCATCATAATCAGAATCATCATAATTATAATCATCATAGTCATCATAATCATGATCATGATCATAATCGCAATCATAATCGTAATCATCACAGTCATGATCATAATCATCATAATCATGATCATAATCATCATAATCATAGTCATAATCATCGTAACCATGATCATAATCATAATCATAATCATCATAATCATTATTATTGTTATCATCATCGTTGTCATTATTATCATCATTGTTTTTACTATTATCATCGTTATTATTGTTATCGTCATCATTATTATTATCACTATCATCATTATCATTATTGTCATCATTATTGTTGTCGTTATCATCATCACTATCATTATTATTATTACTGCCATTATTATTATCATCATTATTATCATTGTTATCGTCGTTATTATTGTTGTCGTTATTATTGTTATTGTCATCACTGTTATTATTATCATTATCATTATCATTATCATTATCATTATCATTATTATTATTATCATCATCATTATCATCATCGTCATTACTGTCATCATTATCATCACAATGAATCCTAATCCATGCCCGGAAAATTCAGCACTCTAGATGCTTCGTTTGCGAAGTTACTTCAAATTTCACATGCTTGTACGTGAATGACAATGTCAATGCTTTTGGCGCGCACGCTTACTGAAACACAGTTCTAGACCACGCTCAGAACATTTCAGCACTCCAGCTGCTCTGCTTGTGGAGTTGCATCAAATCTAACGTCCTCGTGCGTGAGTAGCAACGTGAATATGCGTTCAACATGAAAGAAACGTGAAAGTCGTCTTCGCGTGTGCATGGGTCAAAGGCTACCGTCAGTTATGCTCAGGATAACGGAAAAGTAGCAGCAGCGGCAGCAGCACTGCGAAAACCAACAACAACAACAACTATGGCAGCGGCACGAGCAGGCGCAGCAACGGGGATGTAAAAGGAAAAAAGAACCTAAAGGGGAAAAGGGAAAAAGAGGGGACAATATTGGTGAGGACTGAGGGCAGTAGGTGAACAACTCGCCCCCGCCACTCAGTCCCAGTGAGTGGGAGACTACTGAGCTCCGTGCCCAAAACTTACGCTTATATAGGGGAAGAAAATGGGCGTTGCTAACGTAGGTATATAGACGACCTTAACCGGGCTGTAAAATGTGCCTACCGTATACCTTGCAGACCACATACGGATGACTTGAGAGGCGATAAAACTCCTTCCCTGTCCTTTTTTTTAGGTTTCAATAGCCCTCACCGTATTCGTAGCACAGGGCTTAACGGGCAACCCTACCCGTCGTCTATACAAAAAATTTTTGGCTGGTTGTGTAAGACATGAGCCGAGCCGAGTTTTAGTAATTGCTTAGGCATTCGGCAAAACTTCCAGTTATTTTGATCAGTGCCTTATTAGTTGGTAGTCAGTATACTGGTAATTCTGAAATTCATTTCGTTTTCTGGAGGCATTAGCAGCTGCTCAACTGCCCTCCCAACAGAAGCATTTGGGCAGGTTTTTAGTCGTTATGAGACGTTTTTGACGTTTCTTGAGAATCCTCGTACTGAATGTTGTTACAGCTAGGTCATGATGAAATACTTTTTTGGTTTGATGTTGATTTTGAGTTAACTTGCTGCGGTTTTTTCTTAATTTTTTATTTTTGGAAACTTTTTCTGTTGAAATTTCAGGTACCACTACTCGCACCGGATGTTCTGCGCATAATGGCTAAGACTT